TTATTTTTCAGTGAATGAGGTTTTCATAAGCCTAGGTGGAGTTGCTACTTCTGTTATTTGTTTCTCAAAATAAAATGCATTACAGTATTATAGCTTTCACTGATTTATTTCAAATTTGAAACATTGTCTATCTAGCCTGTAAGGTAAAAAACATTTTTACCAATTAATCAAATCGTATTGTGGTGGACCAGAAATTGGTACTGAACTGAATCGCCATGATGGGTGTGATTTACACCACTAGTGTGCACACACAAATATGCCAAGCTTATTTTTACATAACTGAAATAATTACATTGATTATGGTTGATTTTGAATTCTTACCTTTAATGCTTATTAGATTGTTGGCTGGAATATTGAACATCTGAACGCTGAACTTATACTCTGATGAACTATAATACAATAACTGTCAGGGAGGACGGAATGTTGCTGATGTCCATCCATTCCATGTTAGTCCAGTTCACACATCCATCAAACTTGAAAGAAGCAGCAGGCCCCAATTTCTAGAGTTGTCTTTAAGCAGAGCAACTTGCGAAAAAGCTCATTCAAATGGCGCATTTGATATAGGGAGGGTGAGGTTTTTGATTACAGCAAGCGCTAAATCCTGAAGGTATTTGTTTCCCCCAGCATCTTTACAAGATTCCGCTTTCAACCAGAACGCATCAATCGTCAGGGCAGGTTTAATCTCACCAGATCCACCCCCTGCTTAAACTAGCATACTTTGTGGCGCCACTATACTACAGCAGTAGCCATTTAAAATTTCCCCACTTTCCTTAATGGGCCTTTGGCTGGTTCATGGCTGGTCCTCTACAATTCTTTTTAAACATCAATATTTGTTAGGAATATTCTTTCTGTCATGATCTGTGGATATTAGGATTTAAAGAGAAGCGTAATCTCCTGGTCAGACCACTGTAATTCAGTGAAAGGATACAGTCAGAGTAAAAAAAAAATATGGAAGAGGGGTTCACTCCAGTGGCTGGAAGTCGAGGGGATTTCGCTGGGAGTTGGAGGGAAGTGGGCTGCCATTCAGCTGGCATTTGACTGGGAAGGGTCGTTTTTAATGGTTGCTACTATAGTTCTCTGCGTAGTGGCGGGGAGTGTAGGGAGACATTGGTGGACATATGTTTTAATAGGTTAATTAAAAAAACTCAGATCTGACTCCAAACCAGCATAAATTATCTCCAGCGCCAAAAGCAATTTTTACCCTCAAATGAAAATGAAAACTTCCCAGTTGGGCGGTAGAACACCCAATCTGGCAACACTGTCAACAGAGTCTCTGCAACTTCATACTGTAAATGTATGTAAATGAACCACACCATGAACAGCAAGTTTTAAGCAGAGCATGCGTTTTATAGGCATTCCCTCGTGGGAGTGGGTACAGGGTTAAAAAAATTCTAACATATCCATAACATTTTTTTGCTAAATATTGTTGAACCATACTTAAATCTGAATATCCTCCTTGTTTTTCTATTTAAACAGTTAAGGTAAATCCTTATCAAGAGCAGATCAGTTAATGATCTAATACCTATTCAAGATCACCACTAGAATTCAAGATCTTTTGTAGTACTATCTGCTGTCCATCAACTGGTTAGGAGTGTTGAACACATAACTGCGGTCAACACTCCTAACCATCTGTAACAGTCTGTAACCGTCTGTATTTAGCAGACGCTTTTAACCAAAGCAACTTACAAAGTAGACAGTAGTGTGAAGCATCTTGCCTAAGTACCCACACTGGCAGCTCATTCCTAAAGAGCTACACTGACAGCTCATTCCCCCCAGCGGGGATACAAACACAGGCTTTATGTGTGCAGGACAGGTGACTTACCACTTGAGCTAGTAGGTCAGTTTTTCATCAAACTGGATGTAGTATTTAGAACAAATACTTTGATTGGATGAAAAAAGCTGAGCGTGATTGGTAGAAGGTTTGGTTCATTTACATACATTTATGAGGTCGCAAGCGCACAGAGTCGAGAGAGTGGAGAAACAGCCGAACTCACAGCTATGAAGCACAGAAAGTGCAGGTCTAGCACATGTAGAGACGGAGCAGAGCACGTACAGAGAAGGCCAATTTATACTTCTGACGCACAGCCTCTGTAACCGTCAAATCTGTCTCTGTGCTCGGTCACGCCTCAGGCAGGCGCAGGCGCAGAGGTTCTGCAACCGTTGTCGCGCACCTCAAAAAAGTCCTGACTACACGTTGGACGGTCGCAAAAACCTGCGCAGACCTCAAGAGGAAGTGCGCAGACAAAAAGCAGCTGTGATTGGTCCTTGGTATACCTTTCCGGCTGTCTGTGTGGTTGTTTTTCTCGATTCTATGCCATTTTTAAAAACCGAGGAGTAACAACAACAATGGATAACCATTACGAAAGGTTCATCAAGGAGGGTTGGAAGTACAACCACTTGTACGATGCCTCAGACATGTTGTTTAGGAAAATAAACACTCCCCCCGGCGCTGCCGAAGAAGTTCTTGTCACCATCCGCCGAAGTTCTCGCGAGTTCTCGAATAGGCTCCCCCTGGCGCTTTGGCGAGAAACTGCTGTGCTTCCCTAGAAATTCCAGACCAATGGTCCAGAAGTATACCAGCAAAACTGGTTCGCCACCAGACCCAAGCGACATTTGATGTGTGCGGTTGCAGAAGTAATCCACCCTAGATGGAACTGAGCGCAACGACAGTGGTTTAAGTTGAGCGCACGCCAGACCAGTTTTAAGCATGCGCATGTTGTCTCACTGTGCGCGCGGATTAGTTCCTACATGCCTAAACAGAAGACACAAATATCGCTCCATACATCACGGCAAGTTGGCTACTTCCTCTAGCCGCTGCTGGCTCCAAAACACAACAAAACTCTTCCGATATCTTTTACAATTGATGCATTTCCCTAAACATTTCTCAAAAAGTACCAAATAATAAAAAGTGGTTTGTTATAATAAACTTGAACTTTACATGTTGTTTTCACCTGAAAAACAACATGTAAATGAGCACACGGGAGATGCAGTCTGTGTTACACCAATTTCTCTCAGCTTATGAGAAACAGCAGAGCGTAAGGCAGCTCAGAGTCTCCTTGGGCCACCTACTGATGAAATACTCTATACTCCTCATCATTAATCCCTGTTAACAGAAAATAAATAATAGCTACTTATCTTAACCCCATAATATAATGCACACTCCTTTTCTTTTTCCTTGTCGGCACACAACAGATGGCATCAAACACTCCCGGCAAAAATAGAAAATAGCTGATATAAAAAAAACTTTAAAAAGATTCTCATTATCCAATCCCACTAACTAAGCCTTATCAACCGCACAGCACTCTGGATGGAATGCTCACAACTAGTGTGTGTTATCTATGATGTTGTCATGAAACTTGAGTACATAAAAAATAATTTGAGTACAGCGCACTCAGTGGTGGACTAGGTAAATATGAATATTGCAATGGATGGGAAAAAACTGCATTCAGATTTACATGTGCCTGTACTGATGGCTTTCCCAGTAAATCATATTTGAGGAAATGTCTTGGCCTCGTATTGCATGTTGACCTCCTGACCTCTGTCTGATCAGGTTCAGCAGGAGGGATGATGAATTGATTTTCAGTCTCTGTCAATACGGAGAGGTTTATCCCATCAACCTCCACAGGTCTGGTCGAGACAGTTATGGTTTCACCCATGTTTTTCTCAGGTGCATCGTTTAGAGATTCCAAGATGGTTTCAGGTGAATAATTAGTCGGTGTCTGATTTTCATCCACAGTTGTTTCAGGGGCCTTCTCAGAAGTTTTACAAAGTTGTCTAAAGTGAGGAAGGTTACCTCAGGAGGGAACATCAAGTGGAAAATGAGAGAGTGTTTCAGCATCAATATTGGACTTCCCAGGCCGGTATTTAATGTTGAACTGAAAACTGGAGAGTTCACCGACCTACCCATGAGCAACTGCATTAGGCTTGGCTTTTCTTAAAATGTAGGTCAGTGGGTTGTTGTCTGTATATACCCTAAAGTGAGGGGCATAGTACAGGTAATCACGGAACTTCTCACACACAGCCCATTTCAAAGCAAGAAACTTCAGTTTCCCACTTTGTAGATGGTAATTACGTTCAGCTGGTGTAAGTGTCCCCATCACTCTCAGTTTCTCATTCTGGTGTTGGTACAAAGTGGCTCCCAACCCCTGGTATTATGCATCGTATGCAGAATAAATGGTTATACTAAAGTCTGGGTATGCCAGGACAGATGGATGTGTTAGGACACTATTTAGCTGTTCAAGAGCTTCCTGGTGTTTGATGGTCCAGCTCACCAGTGCTCTGGAAGATAGTAGGGGCTGTTTGGACTTCCTACTCGGGGCTGCAGTCTGAGTTGTACCTGATTTTTTCTGGAGCAGCTCATAGATTAGCAATCTGGGGAAAATCCTGAATATATAAAACCTATAAAAGCCTAAAAGTCCAGCCAGCCTCTTCACCTATCTGACTGTCATTGGTTGCCTGAACTTGATAAATTTGCCTTTTTTAAGTCTCAGTTTTACTCCATGAGGCTGGAGAGCATGTACAGTAGGACCTTGCAGAGTGCTTCAACGTGTGCCATAAACGACTTGGGATAGCACAGTACATCATCTGGATGTGGAATGCAGCACTCATCTCGAAGTGTTCCTAACTTTTCCCCCATACTCCATACTTTGAAATGCTGCAAGAGCATTCGAAAGCCCAAATGGGATTCAAACCCACTTATAGAGTCCCCACGGGGTGATAAAATCGATGAATAGGCGCGACTGCTCTGCAACAAAACCTTGGTAATTGGCTTTGCTTTGGTCTAGAATACTAAACCATGCATTTCCTCCATTGGTATAAGTCAAGTCCTTTATTCTGTGTAGTGGGTGTTGATCAGGCACCGTCTTTTTTTTAAGAACCAATAATCAATGCATAGCCACATGCTGCAGCCTTTTTTCAAACAGAAAATAAATCTAAAACACATATTCCATAAAAAGAATTCTCTTTTTTTTTTCTTTTTTTTTTTCAGTTTAACACTATGCTAAGGCTGAATAATATCATGTGAACCAAAGCTGCTTGCACCAATGAATGTGGAGTGCCATTTATATCAAGGAGACAGAAGTGGTACAGGAGGTCAGATATCCGGCCAAGCTCTCCAATCCTAAATAGCCATCAGGATACAGTCCATTCCAGCAGATTCCATCTGCATCTTCGTCCTCATATCCTGCTTTACAGCAAGGTCCAGCACTCCCCTCAAAACTTGGACTAAATGCAAGTGGGGCCTGATGACAGCTGGTATGTAGGTGGTGGTTCTGCAGGGGAAAGGAGGTGAAGGTGGTTGCTTTGGGACCATGTAAATCTGATACCAGGCTGTCCTTTCTTAGCTCCTCCCATAAGTTACCTGCAGTAAAAAGAAAAATCACAGGTTTGCTAGATGTAGACATCCATGCTTATTACTTACATAAGTGAATTCACATAAAGTACTGCTTAGTCATTTATAAGAAGATAGACTAACTATTATTAGTGCAAAGAAGACATAATCGACTTGAAAGTTATTTTAGCTCCCAGGTTAAACTGTTAAAACAACCAAATTAGTTTTTAGTTTGCCGTAAGCCATGTAAGGGTCACTGCAAACACAAACAAAGGTGCTCTGGTTTAAAGTTTCTGCCCAACATACAAAAACTGTATCTTGAACGCATTATTCCCAGAGAAAAGAATGAAGGAAGAACAGAAGAATCAGTTTGAGCTTTAGCCATTTTGCAAAATCTGAATGTACCCTTACCTTGTAGCTGGAGGTCTGTCAGACTGGGGTTAAGTGTGTCTATGTCATGACTGGTGTCTCCATCTTGAAGAGACTCCTGCATACCCCTCAGGCCAACTTTGTACTCTCCCAGCGGTCCAACACTGTGAGCAGGTGGCATCTTCCCAGCTATGGCGGAGTTCGTACATCCAGAGAGTGATGGGATACCAGCTGCAGGCGGCTGGTCGCAGGTTGAGTACAGGCCAAATGAGTTGCTGGGATGAATCATTGAGTACCCACTCACCGAGCTCACCAGTTCTTTTTGGGACAGATGAGGCTGAATGTTACTGTACTCTGACTGTTGAATAGGTCTGGCGGGGCTGTACAATGGGGCCACTCTTTTTGATGAGGCTGTGTTTGAGTAAGTTGGCAGAGATCTTATTTTGTCTGGCTTCTCTCCCAGCAGACGATCGAAATCTTCTGCAAAAAGGTTTTTCAAGTAAAGTATTAAATGAATAGTCTAAAAAGAATTTTAAAAACAAATCCCATAGGTGATTGGGTGTTTTAGTCATTGTTTGATGCTCACAATTTCATCTCTATAGACTCACCTGGCTTTGCCATACTCCTGCGGATAGTCTGGGGGTCTTTGCGACGCCATTTGTGCAACTCCTCCTGCATCTTCTCAACCTTGGCTGGATTCAGTGCCCAAAGGCAGCCTTTACGAGAAGTGTTCCCATTTTTGTTCTCAACCTTCTCAAAGCACTTGTTCAAGGAAAGGTTGTGCCTTACTGAGTTTTTCCAACCATCAGGGGCGGTCTGAACAGAGGCAAAAATCACAGAAAGACAGATTTGTTAAAAAAAACAATGATCTTATATTTCATGATTAGACTGGAGGCCTGGATCAATAAAATTCAATTGTACTCTCAGAAATGTGTGTATAATTTTCTCTAAACGTAAAAGACTGAATGTTCAACTTTAAGTCAGACTGGTTCTCAGTAAGTCTTGAAAAGGACTACTGCTGCTTTTTGTCAATAAAACTGTTCAGAACACTTGCAAAATGTTTTGGCTGAACCATTTTGGTAGAGGATTAGTGTATTCTGACATTGCTGATATTTGGTGATAATACAAACCATTTTTTTCAGAGGAACTGTATGTTTAAGGCTCTGGTCCCCTAAAGTAAAATTAGGGATTCCCATCTTAAAAGATAAATATAAAGTTTCATGTTCATGTTTTCATGCAGAGTAAATTAGCACTGCTGTAACTGTTGAGGATTAGAAAATGTCAGTGGCATAGTCCAGGGTTTACAGCATATACCCACTTTTCAATCAGAACTGGGTATACCCACTTCTAATTCCCCATGATCCGCACTATTAAGGTGAATCTCCCAGACAAATTTCCTATTTTTTCCAAGGAAGGTGAAGCCATCACCTGTGCTAATCTGCTTCTAATTGACTAGTACTCATTGCCTTTACTGGTTACATTGGTTAACTGTAGGCATGACAACCAGCGAGCTAATCGGAGGCAGTCAAGGGCGCTTTCTTGCTGGGATTAATATTGCTCACATATTAAATAACATTTAAAAGTTTACTTTAAATGGTTTGGCTTTAGGATTAGCAAAGAATCAGTAACATGAAGCGAGCTAGTCAAGCAACACTTTCATTTCCTAATTACAAATGTCCCTCATTAATTAACATTAGCAAGCATTGCAATGCCCACTCTGCCCCCCATCCACGTTGGACAAGATGCTGTCAGTGAATAACTAAGAGGCCTCTTTGCCCTTAGCAAAATATGTCGGTACAACTTTGGATGACTACATCTACTATGCTAGGTGGGCGTGGGCAATTTCTATTCATTGGACCTCGCAAATTATGTTAATAACATGTCAGGGCTCAACAGTGTTGGTTTAGGAAAATAAATCACTTTTGATGTGTTGCAAATGCATTTTATGCATAAAATGCATTTTATGTGAAATATTGTAATGTTACATATTGTCTTACTGAATAATTTGAATTATGAATTCCGATCATCATATGATATACGTCCATATATCTAATGAGTTACAATAAAATAGTCTTTATTAAAATTTTAAGAGTTTATCAACTTTTAAGTTTATCCGATTGGTTTTGATGCATTTGATTTTTGTTTTTAAATCTAAGCTGAAATATGAACAAGGATGTCAAAATCATATCTAAAAAATGTTATTAAGATAAATGTTTAAAAAATAATTGAAACACCATGTATGCTCCTGATTAAGTTATGTTTTTTCAAATAGCGGCCACACTAACTGTTACAAATCAGCTATACAAGGAGACAGTTTAAAAAGAAATTACTAACTGACTTGCTAAGTGAGAGAATAGGTGTCATCCATGAGGATGGACTCAAGAATAAGGAATATTTCACTCAAAATCAATAATTGTTTCTCACTAGTCTATGGACCAGCATTGAGTTATTTCATAATCCTTCTTCGCTGAGATCAAATAGCAGAAATTATTTCACTTTAAGTAAATAATACAAAGGAATTTTGGGGTAAATGCCATACAGTGGTCCTACATATCATTGTTTCTGGGCTGCATTAAAAAAAGGAGCGTGAGTATACCCCTTCCCCAGGGACCACAACACTACTGCAAAAGTTTATTTTGAAGCTTACTATCAAACTATTAGCTTTCACTTGTTAATGTAGGTACATTATTTTCTTCCCTAAAGGGAAACATTATATTTTGATTAATATATGCCAACATCTGCTTTGGCTCTTATTTGAAATTGCATGCTATAACAAGTATCTATTGAGAAGAACATAACAGACATACCTGGTGGGCTTTTTTTTATATATATATCTCTAGTCTTCCTTGAAGTTTAACTTTTTCCCCCTCTAATGTACTTTCTGACCCTGCAGCTCAGGTTTTAGCCACCTGTTTGGAAATCAACCATCAATGCACTAATTTTGATGGACAGAAAACTGTTTTATCAGATCATAGCCGATGGGCTTCAAAATCATATATAAAGTTCCCTTTTAAATATGTTTAAATATGTATTGTGGAAAAACGTTTGATTTCTTTCCAGATCCAAATGTCAACTGAAGTCTGAACCCACAAGGGCCTCTTTGATTTACATTAATTCAACAGGCTGCAGATTTATAACACACTTCCTCACATACACTTCCTTCACAAAATAGCTTGTTCTAAAGTTCAACTTTCATACCTGGGCAAAGAATGAGAGCAAAATGAGGGCAAATCATGTACAAACGTATCGTTCCACTTGAATTAATTTGGGTTATCACCTGTTGCTCTAAGTTACCAGTTACGTATGGGTACCAATTAAATAGGAGATTAACAACATCTTTGAGGCCAAGATTTACCCTTTAAATGACTCAAATACTTTTTACCCTTGCATAAAGTTTTAGAAGAAAAGAGATGACAGGCTTCTTTGTCTTTTCTGTTTAAAAAAAGAAAATAAATCTCTAATTTGTGCTTCAAGCTCTATTTCACTGCCATAAGAGAAAAATACAACATCTTGGTGCCTCCCTATATACTCCACATTTATGGTGAAATGATTATAAAAATTGTTATATCTTGAAATATTCATAAGAACACTGCATGTTTGTTGTCTGAACTTAATTTGCAAAGACCAACTACTTTTCCCTGTCAAGAAATGATAAAAAAAGGATCTAAAGAAACTCTGAAGTTTCTTTGTTTAACTGTGTAGATTAAATTGTTTAGTTAAATTGTAATTTAACTGAGATCACTTTACTAATCGCAGTTTCCAAGGCTCAGTCATAAATAACATGATCACACCAATAGGGAGAGGAAAGCATACTAAAATAGACACATTTCAGTATACCAGAAATAAAAAAAAGGTCAAATATCCATTAATAAAGACATCTGATCGAAGGCCAGAAAAATATATGTTAGATACTAGATACAATGTATGTTGTATCTAGTGGGTGTGTGACGTTCAGTGTGTGGAATACCTTAAAATAGGGGAAGTGTTCAGTCATGAAGCTGTAAATCTCGCTGACCGGCAGACTTCCGGTTTTGCTGTTCTTCAAAGCCATGAAAATCAAGATGCTACAGTAATTTAAAAAACAGGTACTAAGCTCATAATCATATTTGACATAACAAACAACCAGAAGGATGTAATGCAGTTTTACCTGTAGGAGTAAATGGGTTTGGGGAAGAGAGCTTCTGTAGAGCTCTCCTGATGGGGCTGAATGGAGAGACTCTGAGGAGTATACTTTGAGCTGTCGGGCTGATCGTCATCAGGATACAGTTTTGCTGAAACCTTTGGAGCAGAATCACAACAAAGGGGAAACTTATTCCATCACCTAATTTTGTGCAACGTTCTTTCTAAGTGTCCTTAAATTGTACCACGCAGCGTTGGAACAACAAGTTACCTGTTCCATGGGGGAGCTGTAGTATGCCTGACTGTGTGACAGAAAACTGTATGGTTCAACTGGTACAGCTGGTGGCTCCGAGTATAGACCCTGTAAGCATGCAAAAAAAAAAAAAAGGTACTAGTAAATGAAGAAGAAAAGGTTAGGCCTCTTGATGTAATGGGAAGATTTTGATCAATCTTTTGTTAAATGTGAGACTGAGCAACCTGAATGCTGCCACTGTATTTGCCCCAGATTGTTTGAGGGTCACCGCTGCATGAACAAGTGCCCGGACTGTTGACCTCCAGCAGGCTGCTAAAGGAAGACGTGTGTTGGAGGCAATCTGCAGCATCCACTGCTCCATCGCTGAACTGCCGACGGTACGGGTGGAAACGGCCAGAGGCAACTCCATCTGGTCTAGAACTTGAGCTAATGATCCCATCAGAACTGTGCCTCCTGTTCAGAGCGGTGGTACTCAAAGTGAGATTGTTGCTCTCTTGTTGCGGAAAACAGTTTTCTTTAACCAGTTGGACCTGTAGTGTCAAAGAAGAAATGCAAAACTTAACATACTTTGAGTTGCACCAACATCTCAGGGACTGCTCTCCACTGTTTTTCTAAGCCAAACAGCAAGAACAGTTCCAGGAAACCTTCTGGGAATTCCCTTAACACCACCTGGGCATTTTCTTCTCTATATGCACATACCTCTGAGAGGACAAGTTCAGCATACCTCAATAAATCATTATACTCTCTCCACAAGACAAAACGTCAGTTTGAAAAGTCAGGTAGAAAAGGTGAGAATGATGAGAAGCTAACAGATAGTTAGAGGAAAGAATTATATAAGGAACAATATAGCCCTCTCCATGAAGTTCCTAAAGATTGTGGCGTTCTACATGATGCATTTTATACTAGGCATTTCACAAATTGTCGGATATTTATGTGATATATCTTTTTATAATAGTTGTTATTTTAGAAACTGTTGTTACTTTACAACTGTCACTACATACCTACATAGCTGGAAGCAGGCAGCCATTGGTTGAGTTTTGCACAACACGTACAACCACTATCAGTTATATGTTGTCAAGAAAATGCAATTAAAAAGCAGTTAAGTTCTAGAAATTTTTAATTAAACATTTAACCTCCAGTAATCTAGTACAACAAAAGCATGCTATATGTATACCACCTTCAACTAAATAATTTTCTCCTAATGACAGAAGAACAAATATCAGATAGCAACCAGCAGCGTCTGGTTACGTCCGACATGGTCTAATATGTAAGGAGTCTTTAGCCAAAGGGTAACCACTGTGCTTCACCTTTCATTACGATAAGCGGAATCTGAAAAGTGCTGGAAGTGAGGCAGGAGGTAGGAAAAGGATGCTGGACGTTTCCTGTCATAGTTCCTTTAGCATGGGGAGATTGCCTGGGTTCCTTACAGGAATTCCACTGTCCTTTGCATGATATGACTTACAATACTAACACATTCACCAACAAAGACATTAATAATAATGTCCAGAGATATGAATACCTGCACAACTACTATTTAGATTTGGATTATTGCTTCACTTATATTGTGTATGACACATTAAAATGTTTGCACATTAATTTGTTTTGCCTTGTGTGATGGAGAGCTTCAGCTACTTCATGCATTTGTGTAACTTGCATTGTATTGTAGTTCTTTTTCAGAACTGTAGTCCCAGATTTCACAAGCATTCATCTGTATTTCCATCACACAATGATGTGAGAGTCAAACCCAGAGTCCCCCTCCTAAAATTGCCTAATCTGGAAAGACCTTCATGTTACCCTCCTTATGTAAGCCTTCCTTCTCCGGCCCCCACCTTCTACATTGCTTGGATATTTTTTGTTTATGGACTCTAGCTCTCCTTCCAAGGTCCTCTCACCCCAACATATGAGCATGGATTTGCTTTTTTGTTTATTTTTTTTTTTTTTGAACTTCAACAGTATGTGGTATCTGCTTTGAGCAGTGATGCCAGAAACTGGGATGTTTGGGTTATTTCGGGGGTTAGATTCTAGTTATGATTTTTGCTGTCCTTTGTTTCCTTAGAATCTATTTTAATTAGATCATCCTCATTTCTGCTTTACTTTAGTTCAGTCTTGTCATAGTTTTTATTGTCAATTTATCTTTCTGTCTATTTGCTCCACCCACCCTTATCCCTTGATGCCATTCACTCTCTCTCCTCAGTTTACTGTCTATCCCTGCTCTTTTATGGTTCTTGCTTGTTCATCTCTGGCTCCCTGCATTTCCTGTGATTATATAAAGTTTTGCTCATCATTTGTATTTAACATTCAAAGACCACTCACTGCCTCTCTGCATTTGCTTCTCTACACTACTACTACATCCTGCCATACTATGTGTGTAACAGATTTATTCTGATAGAGGGCATCAGATTAGCTTTCTGCTGCTGTTGCTATGCTCTACAAGTGCAGCAGCTATATTGGATGTGAGAGTTGGAATTACAATGGAACCTTTAACAATTGGCATCAGATTTCACAGGGAATTCTGGTTTACTAAATTTGATATTCCAACTTTACCATCATGCTTTAAATTGCCAAGTTCATTATCACGTTCTTTTTCTTTTTTTTTAGATCCCTGTCCACAAGCAGAGAAAAAAAGTGTGTGTGTGTTGTTGATTTAGAATATACTGAGATACGTGCAGAAGCACAAAACAAGTTTGATACGCAATTAAGTATATTTAAGATGTCTAACATTTGGTGTTTTATTGTGTAATGATAACAATGACATAAGCAGTGTGTGCTGCAGTAATGGTGTCTGTTTCCATGACACAAAGGCATATTAGGTCACTCATGTATATGAGGAGTGAATGAGAGCTAATATCTGTGTCATAAAGGAGTGTCCTATTTCTAAGGGGAATATTTTAACCATGACCTAAATGAAGTGCCAACAGATGTGGTAGGTGCTGAAGGGTGGGTGGCAGTGTTATGAGCACCATGGGTGTGCCCCTCCTTCTACACATCCATTTACCTTGGTAGAGCACACCAACCATCTCCACTGATAAAAAACAAGATTGATGGTTCTTTCATAACAGTATTTTTCAATAGTTAAAAACAGAGACAAAGTCATAGAAAATAACAATGTCTTTTTTGTTCATTGTAATCTACAGGTAAAATGTCTTTAAAATAAGAAATTGAATAAATCAATTTAAATCAATTTTGACTGCATAGCGACAGATACATCTATAAATTAAACCACATAAATAGGCAAAATATAAGAAATTGAAATGAAAAATCTGATTTTGCTTTTAGACTCTCTGCTTTCATTTAAATTTGATCAGTTTAACATTTTGAACCAGAGAAATTAACCAGAACTTTGACATAGCCCATTGATTTTAGTCAAATCAGAAAATTAGATTCACGTTCCAACTTTAACATCATTAGCTAATGATGCAGAAGTAACAATATTTTCTTATATGGCTTATATTGTACAGAATAGAGCTGTGTCACCACTTCTTTTGACTGGATGGGTCAAAAGAACTCACAGAAACAGATACAGTAAGTGTTTAAAAAAAATAAATACGACCATGGTAACAGTAAACGTACCGTCTGAACTCCTTTACTTAAGTAAAATAAAAAGTACAGGCTCTTTACTGTACTTAAGTAAAAAAGTTAATTTAGGGGTTTGCCTTAAACGATAAAAAATGAACTATAAAAACTATTCAAATAAACATAGATTAATGTTTCTCTTTTGCCCTCTGTGCTGGTAGAAAAATTATAAATATCGAGTCTAGTTTTGTTTGAAAAAATAGTTTGAGACTGTATTATAAATCGAACTGAAAGGAGGTCCTATAAAAACAGCTTAATACTTTAATAGTCAGAAGTTGCAAACAGCATTAAAAAAAACTAAAGTAGAACTTGAAACATAATCAACAACTAATTAAGTGGGAATGTATGGGGAATGTCTTGCATCTCAGAATCTGATGTATCATCCGCATTGTTTTCCAGCCCGTCTATCTATGTTACTATCAGTATTTTTCTGTAGATAAAATATTCTCCAAATGAACTGATTCTGTTCGCACTCTTGATTTTCCTCAGTTTTGTTGCAGGTGAAATATCAAGCCATTATCAATAGAAATAAAAGTAACCAGGTTTGAGGAAATCAGCAGCAGAAAGGACAGATATTTGCATTAAATGTAGTAAAAGAAAAAAGTCCTCAGAAAAATAGATGTTAGTAAAAGTATTTTCATTTGACACCCGAACTATTAAATGGATATCCTGTGAAATGCATAAGACACATTATCTTTTTTTTCTAATTGGCTCCGCCGTCCATATGCAAAAATTACTCATTATTTTAAGTGCTGCCAACCAATGGCAGCATGAGAGAATGTATAAGCAAAAACTGTTTTTTATTTTTTTTTATTTTACATTAGAGACAGGCCAGATTTGTCTGAACACAGAGTCAGCTATAACTTTTTTGCACAACAATTTTTTCACAACTGAAGATGTTATAGAAGAGAACTCAGCTTCAAACCTGAGAGTTTGCCATTTGCTGGCAGGTTGTCCTAAATGGCTCGCAGGTGTGTAGATCGACCTGAGTGGTTGATCCCTGAGACCTGATGCTGTGGTGGAAGGAGAACTTTGGGGAGTTGGACATTCTGCAGCTAAAGATGCTTCTGTGAAGACAAAATAAGATAAAAGTTAAAGTTGGACTTTTATTATTGCTCCGCATCTTTTTGCTGTTGTTTGTTTGAATGAATTTTACAGGAAAACAACTGGTAATGTCGTACTGTGAAAAATGAAATCCCCCGTTTAAAATTTGTTCTCTTTTTGTGTTTTTCTCACGCTTGAAAGTAATATCATCATCAAAAAAATTTCAAAAAGTAATACAAACTAACCAGGCACACTGGGAAAAGTAATTATCTAAAAAAACTAACAATTGGTTGTACCACCCTTGTTAGAAACAAAAACCCAACATCAGTTTTTTATCATTCTTAACTTGCTGTGGAGGATTTTGCAGAATGGATTTAAATGTACCCTATAAACAGCCCATTTAAGATCATGCCACAACACCTGTACTGGAAAGAAAGAAGTCCCTATGATTGGACTGGGAGAGCTTTTTTTGTCATTCAGAATCAAACCTGGTGATATGTAAACAAAGGTTCTTTAAGCTTAATGTCAGATGCTCACAATTCTCCATAACGTTCTTCATTTTAGGAAAAAATCTTCTTTGTGAAATTATAAATTGTGTCTTCTTTATCAGCTTGTTCAGCTTCTTTAAGTCATTTGCTCTGATGCTGTTACCCAAGTAGCTGATGGCAGAAGAGATCACACACTCTACAAACTCATAGAAGACATGCGGCATCTTGCTGGAAGCACTGAAGGACCGATGTTTCCTTAATACGTTCAGTCTGCTCTGTCCCTTCTTGAAGACAGCTTCACAGTTGTTGCTCCAGTTCAGTCTGTAGTCCAGGTGAACATCGAGGTATTTATACTTATCCACCACCTCCACTTCTTTTCCTGTGAATTTGACTTTTTCCTGTTTCTTCTGAAATATACAGTCATCTTGTTTGTTTTGATCACATTTAGAATAAGATTGTTATTTCCACACCATTTCACAAAGCGATCCACCAGCTCCCTGTACTCAGCTTGTCCATCTCTAATGCACCCAGTGATTCCAGTGCATTAAAACAATTAAGCCTGACTTGCTTTGTGAGGTATTACAGAAAATTCAGGTTGAGGGATCAACAATTGCATTCAGGTTGACACCATCAGGACATGGTGACTGATTGTGAATCGCTCTCAGTAGTTGCCTCTTCATTTGACTCGTTGAGACACACAGGTAGATACATTTCAGGTGTGAGAGGGAAGCTTCGGGTCAGAGGAGGGAAGGATGTCTGTTTGACTGTGGGCAGCAGAAAGGGATGCTGCTGAGCTTGTTCCTAAATTGAACCTATTGAATAATGTGTTCAGTTCAATATCTCTGTCCAGACTTTCATCTGCCTGATCCTCATTCTGCTTAAAGTCTTCAATCTTCTTCATCCCTTACTATGGGGGAAGTTGCCCAGTTAAGGCAGTGAAACACAGCCAGACCCTCATTCTACCACTAACATGTTATTTTGTAGGAATGGTATCCCTTTTCTGAAATACTGGATTGGTTTTATATCAAATATAACAGTTTGTGTTTCAAAAAGTTGTTCTTATGCTATCTCAGCAATACACACAGTATTTTCCCAAAGGGTTTTAGGAAAAATACAGATGTTTTCTTGCATATGTCTGAAGGTTCTTTGTACAGTGCACTTTATGGCTTGATCTTCAAAAAAGGTTTGCATATATAAAACCATGTGTAATCTTGTTAGTACTCACAAAGCTGATTTTCCTACAAGGTGCAAATTCTATTTGTAAAATGAGCAGTAAAGAGGGTGCCAGAGGTTTTTGCATGTATGGCCTTTTGGATATTAAGATCATGTGATCTTCATGACCAAACCGTGCAAAAAAAATGGGAGGAGGAAATGCAAATATAACAAATGAACACTGTCAAAGCAGTTCAGAAAAGTTGAAATATGTGAAGAGGACAGTTTTTAAATCTAGATTCAGCCTGTTCGAAAGTCAGATAAAAATGTTGTGGTTATTTTGGTCACAAAGGAGGACTGGGTTTCCACTCAAGCAAGATCAACTGTCACAAGTTTGTGGATTCACAAACACCCCTGAAAATACTTCTTGCCAGAGTCGGCGGATGCATTAGCCTCAAATACAGAGATGTTTTGAATCAATGAAATGCTGTAACATGTATGATGTCACCAGTAGCTGAAGAAAAGTAAACAATAGCTGCACCGGTGGATGTAGATTCTGCTATTCAGTCCATTTTATTTGCAATACTCTTAATTTTTTCTTGAAAAACTTGCAAAAGGACACTATTTTTATCTTTGTGGACAGAAAATATGTTTGCACGTTCCCCCCTACCGGATTTGGCAAGAGTTTGATTCATCAGTTAACTAGTTGTAAAGCAAATCAACAAGCTGAAGAAGGATCCTATTGTTAGAATTGTGTCTCCTTCAATTGCTCTCATGAAAAGCTTGGCATTACTTCGGCAAAAAATGGCAACTCTCTGGCGACTATGTTGAGTTATAGTTTTTTCTATTATGATTCTTATCACTTTTACCCTCAACTCTATTGCTTGGAACTTCATCCTTCTTTTAAACTGCCTTTTCAACTTTTATCAAGAGAGCATGCAATAGGAGTAAATTGCCGAAACTGCTTTTGCGATTTTTATTTATTTATTTATTCATTCAGTGCTCCTTGTTTATCTTTGAAGCTCAGGGTCTTCTAGAGTAATTTTGGTAGCTAGGCAGCTTCAAGGAAGGTTCACTACTATCTGGTAATGTCTTCTTTAGGATAGTGAATCTCATCTCTCTGGGGGATTTGCTACATTTTCCAGTGTTCAAGATTTTGTTTCTCATGCATTTTTTTCTTCTTACTGCACTTCAAAGTGTCAAACAGGTTTTATTTTAGTAATTCCTAATTCTACAGGTTTAGTAATCAGGCTGGTGTTATGCTTGTGCAATCTCACTCAGCCTTTTCTTCAAAAATATGTTTAATCAAAGTATATAATGATTTAGCAAGGGCAGCAAATACCCTTTTCACTGTATTATTTACTAATATTACATCTAAGCACTTTGCAGAAAGTGACTGCGGTGTTTTCAAAAGGTCAAGGAGTTTACTTCTTCCTGAGATCATTTCTCCTGAGTCGTTAATCTGTTGTAAATCAGATACAAACCTGCGTTCAACATGACCACAGAAGTGGCTAAGCTCATTTCCAGAGACAATACATCAAACAGTTGACACACATGTGTCAGCGATTCAGAGGGCGAAGAGGTGTCATATGATCCTAACAGAAAAGATCGACACGTGGGCCCCTATTCCAGTAAAGGAAACCTTAAACCAGTCCCAGACCAAGCTCATTAAAACTGCCAGCAAACCATGATGGCTGTTTGGTCATGTAAAGCTGCACAGTGCTGATGCAGACAAAGTGGACTAATGTATTGAGAGGAAAGTAGCAAATAGCAGCTCCCACTGTTTGACTCAATGGAGGCTTAAGTGTCGAGGAGAAAGTTGATCGACAGTCTCTTTCATCGCCTTGGCAACAAATCCTCTCATCTGTTTGACAGATAGCCGCCACCAGCCGGAACCAATATGCTTGCTGATCTGGGGAACTTGGTAATATGCTTATATGTTCCAGAAAAATTAAGAACATGTTACTCATTAATGTGAATGGAAACAATATCATAATTTTTCAAACATGCAAATGAAGGATGACTGCTGGAGCAGCATGTTTCCTGTCATGATATGAGGTAAAGGCAGGCCATTGCCAGAAGTTAAAAAATATTCAGAACAATAAAAACTTTGCACCCTCTACATGTAATCTGATGAGGTGCTAGGAAAGGTGAATAGGTGCACTCATTTACCTGCCAAAACTCTAGGTGGATGTGAATTTTTTGTAGCTTTTCGCTAATTTAGATGTTGTAAACACATTTACTAAGTATACACAAAGCATCACTTTCAGAATACAGAATACATAGACTTCCAACACTTTAGTTTAAACTGACTGTATTTAATCAAATTTTTTGATTTTCATTCACCTGTCTCACCTGATAGCCAATAAATCTGTGAAACAGAACCATTGTGGCAACACATTAATGACAAATGAGTCCTATGAGTTGCCCCCAGGGACATAAGTCAGAATGAACTTGCATATACACATATTAAATTAAACTCTTCCATATAATATACTGAAAAACGTGCATAAACACTAGTGAAAAGCTCACACATAAACTAGTGAAAACATTTACCTCTCATATAACCTACTCAAAAGCTCTCATACAAAGTAGTGAGAATTGTTCATATAAACTGGTGAAAAACTTAACCTTTCATACACACTACTAGAAAGCTTTCATAAACACTACTAGAAAGCTTTCAGACACACTACTAGAAAGCTTTCAGACACACTACTAGAAAGCTTTCATTCAGACTACTAAAAAGCTGTCATACGCACTACTAGAAAGCTTTCACACTACTAGAAAGCTTTCATAAACACTACTAAAAAGCTTTTAATTCAGACTACTAAAAAGCTTTCATACACACTACTAGAAAGCTTTCA